TAGAAGAGGAATCTTCCAATGAAGAGGTCAGCAAAAGTAAAAGGGGAATTGACTAGAATTTTGGTCTATTCCACCAGCAAGCTACAGGTTGTTTGTGAATTAATAGCCCAGGGTCAGGAAACCCACTAGAAATACAAGAAGATTGCTCACTGTTTGAGAGTTTGAAAGAAGATGTGAGGAATTCATTGAAATTTATTAATTTAACAATTGAAATTGACCTGGTGTAAATGATCCAGCATGAGTAGTTTTGCAGTTTGCTCTAACTTAACTACTGGCACCGCTTATGGTTTACTCTGGAGATTGATTTGTCCATTTTCCTCCTACTGTAGTCATCTGTGTCCAAACACAATCATGTGCATTCAGGTTTCAAGAGTATTAGCAAACCATGGTTTCAAAGATGCTGGTTGTGATGGGAATTTGAAATGCAGAATTTGCCGTGTCACTGAACCCATCTCTTCTTCATCTGATGCCCAGGACTGATTTAGAAATGAGACAGTAATTGGAAAATTAGATTCATGAAATGTACTCATGCAACTTCCCAATATCTGCTCATGTGATTGAGAAGTGGTGGTTATTCAAAACAAAGTGTTTCCATTGCACACAGTTTATTACCAGCTCCATATGCTCTACCTGGAATTTGGAGGTTGAGTCAGGGTCTTTTTGTCTTGACCTTGCCATAAGATAGAGAGACTGCAATATGAGAGTAAAAGATGGGAGAAGAATCATTGAATCTGTGATGTAAGTGGAAAAGTTCTGATTTTTCCAGGTTTATCACAAGGGCCAGTGCAGAAGTGGACATGGCAGACTGATGTGTGAGGAAAGCAGAATTAATCTTGTTTCATCTTCTTCTTCCCTGGTATCCCGTGGCTTTGCTGGGTTCACAAGTTTAGCAAACCAGAAGGTGTTTGTCTCGAGGAGAGGAACAGACATGACTAAGAACACATGGGAACAAGTGATAGGGAGGAAGAAGTTTCTGGTTTCAGACAGCCAGACTTTTCTGACTAAATTCACTTTAAGCACAGGTCAAGTCATCTGTCCTGCAAAAGCTTCAGAGGTGGTTAGATAAAGATCCCTTTGCAGACCCAAAGCTGCCATCCTTCTGCCTTAGCTCTTCCAGAGAAAGGGAAACTGTTTTGGAGACCATGTGTGAAAGTGGGTCCCAGACTTACTGTAGTTAATGCTCTAACTTCCCCCCATGCTGCTATCACTGAGCTAATGTCATGGGCCATTTCCAGCCAGCTGCAGGTCAGGTGGTTAATGGGTTAATGGGTTAATTCAGAGCAACAGTGAAGGCCAACCTTTGAAACACCTTCTCTGTGTGTTCAATCTTGATCAACAAGAAGGAAGGTGGGGAATCTGCCCAACTTTTCCTCTCTGTCATGAAAAAATATACTGATCCCAAACTAAGGACTAGAAAATGTTTCATTGTAAAGTGGAATTACTTTAGTGTCAGGCACTCACATTCTTCCTGTAGGTACAGCATGGCTTTGAATGAGTTCACATCATGCTGTCAATTCTGCTTATTTTCCTGTCAGGTCTTGCTGTGGCTTCTGCATAGGATCTTCTTATGAATTGTCTTGTTGTCTTGTTTTTATAAGTAAATGGTACATGGGGAGGAAAAAATAAAAAGACTGGTACTTAGGGAGAGGCAGTTTGCATACACCTTGTCTACAGGGCTGACTGCAACACAGCCGAGACAGATTAGCACAGCACTGCCTGCCTAAAACAAATAAACACCAGCTGTTTATCAGACAGGGCTCGGCTTCCTCCAGGAGGAAGTAAACAGATTTATGCAGATGAACCTCTGAGGTGCCCTTGCAGCACAGCATCTTTCATGGCTATTTGGCCTTCCTCATGAGTTATGGCCAGGATGGGCGAGTGCAGAGATGGAAGTTGAGCACAAAAACGCCGCTGGCCACACCGTGCCACAGGGGTTTGTCACTGCCTTGTGGTTAAACCTGTATTTTATACTGGGTTAGAATTAATCATAGTGCTGATCTCCCCATGAAGGGAAGAATTTGATCTCAACTTCACTACTTTAGGCCTCCAGCATGTGGAAAAGCAATTTATTATAACTCACTTATTATTCAATTTCTGCCTAAAATACTATGAAGGAAAATTTATGGCTATTTGAGGTTGAGAGAAATTGTGATCAGCAAGTGTACTTTTCTGATTCTGCATTAAGATTGTCCAGTTGCTGTCAAACTACTTAACTTCATGACCCTTTTATTTTTATGACCACCCAAGTTAACTTTCAATCCAACAGTGCTACACAAGTCCACTGCTGCAAAAGGATTGCTTCTCCCTCAATTCAACTCTGTCTGCCATAATACCACATCTAATTCTTCATATAAATTTTCCCTAAAACTTCTCAGGTGACTCTTAACAACTAGCTGTAAAATCTGGTCTCAGAGGCAGATGGGATATTATTTTAATAATATAGCTGTAATTACACAGTTTGGATGCCAGCTCTCAGAAATGTCTGATAATTTATTAAGATGTTATTGGGAGGAAAAATTGGGAGCTGAAAGTTTTGGGCAATACCTTGGAGAGTTTAGAAAGAGGTTTGCCTCAGTTCTCATGGTGTTACTCATCAGAAGTGTAAAAATTCTTAAATAGTATTGCTGGGTTTTCTGAGACAGTTTCCTATTTAACTTCATCTCACACCAAATGGGACAATCCTATTGTAATTGCTACATTTCTGAGTTTTTAAAAATATCCTTGGTACCCTCCTCTTAGTACAAGATCATTCCTCACAGCTTTCTTGATTGCTGCTATTTGGAAAACCAAGAATGCAAATATGTGGTTTGTCAATACAGTAAGATCAGGATAATGTAGTGATGAGTGCTATAGAAATTCTTGCCAAGCCAAAGAGGATAAACCCCTTTTCCTCTACTCTGTTAAGTAAATTGGTACCATTTGAGCTTGTCTTATATTGGGAGTTTCCGCACCCAAGTGCATTGCTGTACATTTCAACACATTATAGCTCAGATTTCTCCAGGTACTCCTTAAACACTCAGCTAAACCAGGTGGAGAAGGCAAAGTCCACGTGTGATTTGTTCTCCCTGGCTGCTACTGCAGGTTTAAAACCAAAGTCATTTTGGATGTGCCTACCAACCTGTGCCTTAATGTTATTAATATTATTAATATCGGTAAGAAACAGTTTTCAGCCTATTGAACAATTAAGAAAGGTCAATGGGAATTCCCAGAGAGGTGTCTTTCATTACAAGGCCCATTGCTTGTGCAATCTTGCAGCATCCATCTTCCCAAGCAAGCCAAGGGCCAAGAGATGGCAGCTCCATAAACCTGCCTCTGAGCTCCTAATTAAAAAGCTTAATTGCACAAAAGCCATTAAGACGCTTGTGTTCCATTGGCTTTTTGATGCATTAAATGGCACCTATGTTGTTTTCAGGAACGTGACCACTCAGGTTGACACAGGTGCCTGCTTAGGTGCCTGGGTGGCAGGAGCTGGTGGCAGGAGCTGGTGGCAGATTGTGATGTGTCCCTGCAGGCAGTCTGAAACCCAGAGTTAGTCACTTCCACCTCCTTCATCTGCAGTGCCCCAAGAAAAACACATCTAATCTAAGGGACACATACATTTACAGCTCCTGTGGCACAAGGAAGAGATGAAAAAGGATCAAAAGTGGTCCAGTTTATGAGCAAATAGATTCAGGGTTATGAACATCCCCCGTGAGTGGAAAGAGGGCAATGCCCCACGTAATGGCTCTGCTTCAGGAGACCTGTCATACATCGGCTTTTACTGACTGGGCACTGGAGAAGAGTGCACAGCTCTCCCCTGGCCTTCACGACCATCAGGCTGGAGCTGGGAGTGGTCTGTGCTGCCACAGTTCTCATGGTGATGGAAAGCTGCACTGAAGGACAGCTCATAGAGATGAAGTTTTGGGTGCTGTCCCTTCAGAAAATGCTGTGATGGCTGTGCATCTCTATCTGCTTCTACAGTTCATTCTAAGCATTAAATAAAACCTTTTTTTTTATTATTGCTGAGGAGTTCTAGGGGCGTTCTGATGCCACAAAGGTGCTTAGAGGTGTGCCTTAGTGCTGTCCTCAGAAGAGAGCCAGTTCTCCCAGCAACCTGTGCCATTTAATGGTGACACAGAGCCAGTGGATATCCCATAGTCACTACCCTGCCCCTGTAGGTTCCTGGTCTGGGCAGATTTCATCCTCAGGAATGACCTGCTGGCTGAGCAAACCACTTTTCATTGGCCTCTGTACCTCTGGTAAATTAAAGCTACTGCTCTTGTGATCCTTCCTGAATCCTTGGTTGCTACTTTCTGTCAGTCCTCACTGTCCTAAATGTCAGTGGGAAGGATCATTGAAACTAATGGGTTCAGTTCATCTGTTGTGCCAGTGATGGTATCCTGGGATGACCTTCTTTCTGAGGGAACAGTCATGTAGGGGAAGGCTGCAGGGTCAGGGTCCTGCTGTGGGGCAGTACTCAGCACTTCCATCCTGCTAATGCCCTGAGGAACATGGGGGTCACTGGTCCTCCTCCTCCTGAGAATGCTTTGACTTACCAAGCTTCAGCCTCAAAAATCTGTTGTGTTTGAGTTTAAACTAATCCCAGTTGAAATGCAAAACTCAACAGGATCTTCTAATCTCACCTGGCCTTTCACTGGAAGGATGTGATCTTTGCTACACCTCACAGGAGATGGATTTATTTCCAGGATCATTCAAAAGGGGTTCATGTCTTGGTAGCACAATTTGCCCCAAAGGTTCCTCTCCCTGAGGACAAGCTTGCCATGAGGACTGATAAACCTCAAGTACTTTCCCTGCAGATGTTTTGCATGAGACTAACTCCATCACAGAGGTGGCTGCGTTCTGTGGGTGGGCAAAAAGATTCCCCGTAGATATTTTTGCGAAGCGATTTCAGTTCCCTTGCAGCTTGCAAGAAAATTGAATTAGTTGTTTTCCATTCGCTGAATTAACCCTGATTCATTCTTCCCTCAACCCTCTCCCTCTTCCTCCCCTCCCTCCAACAGATGTCCAGCATATTAAGAGGAGAGACATCGTTTTGAAGAGGGAGCTGGGAGAAGGTGCCTTTGGGAAGGTGTTCTTGGCCGAGTGTTACAACCTCAGCCCCACCAACGACAAAATGCTGGTGGCAGTGAAGGTAAATGCCAAGGGCGAATGACAGAGAGTAGGGCAGGGGCTGGCCAGTGAAGAGAGGCTGGATGAGCCTGTGTGGGAAAGGGAAGCAGGGGAGGGCTTGGGGCCAGGGGTGGAGATTTATCTGATGCCGGAGATTGTGGTAAATCCACTTAGTCACACAAAGTTTCAGTGTTCCGCTTCAAGGTTGTCTGTTCTCAGCAGTGCCAAAGCCTCCCTTCCTGCTGACACGGCCAGGAGACAGACAGGGAGGAGATGCTGGGAGCTCCTGTGCAGCTGCAGCAGCACGGCGTGGGTCCAACCCCCTCCAGCAGGCACCACGGCCCTGCTCCTTCTGGATTTTATCTTTTTGTGTAACGTGCAGAAGCTGAAACATAAAAAAAGCCTCAGCAGAAATGAGCAATGAAAGCTAAGCATGATGAGCCAATTTTCTGGGATCAATTTGCTGCAAGATGGGCAAAGAAACTCGGCTTGGCTCCACTCTGCTCCTGCTTGCCTAGCCACAGGTTGCTCCTGTTTTGGGTATGTTAAACCAACACGAGTTCAGCTTGGCTTGTGCTGTGCTGCTGCATCCTTGTGATATTCCTCGTGGGAGCTGTGCCCCATCAGTGTGGCTCTGGGTAGAGGAGAATACTCAGTGCAGAACTGTGTTCTCCTCTCATGTGGCACCAGTGGGGAGAGACACAGTTTAATCCCTTGGATTTAACCAGCGCTTCCTAACGCCTTGGAACAAGGTCTGCATTTGAACCCATGCTCTACAGGGGAAAAGTTCCAGCACTCTCTCCAAAGTGCTGGAGGCATCCAGTTACTTGTGACTTGTTCTAATCATTGGTGGCTCAAGCCTTTTTCTTTTAGCTCAGATGTCCCCTTTTGCTCCGGCAGTGAAATGCAAGATTGCACCTTTCACCTCTGAGACTGGTTAAAGCCGAGGACACCAAGACAGCCACGTGATTAATTGTTTGATTATAGGGTTGGTACCTGCCTATCAGTGTCAGCCATCCCTCAGCAAGCCTGGCTCCCCAGTCTCTGCAGAGTTTCATTTGCATGTAGGCAGAAACAGCATCCAAACTTGTTTCTCTTAATTGCTACTATGAGCTTACATCTCCAGAGTGCCTTTCATCCTGCAAGATCATACAGCTCTAGCTCTGGAGCAGGCCCTGGAATCTGGCTTCTTGCCAGCTCTGGGAGTGGCAGGGGAAAAAAAATCCCTCTAATTTGGGCCATGTTATAAGTCTGAGGGAAGGGAGAAAAAAAAAAAAAAAAAAAAAAAAAAAAAAAAAGGCAGGAATAAAGGTTTTACATATTAAGCTGAGATTTGGCTGCAATTCCTGAAGATCTCATGCCCCCAGCTGAGGCTGAGGACTACCTCCCCAGTCCCTGCAGCTCAGGGCAGCAGCAGGACACTGGTTAAGGGCAGCTGAGTCCACAGCCAGGGCTTGCCTCTGCCCTGCTCTCGGGGACTCTCTCTCAAGGCCAAAGGAAGGGGCTGTGCTACTCTCTCGCTTAAATGGACTCAGATTTTTAGCAGATCTAAAGGTTGCAGCCCTGCAGATAAACTGAGTTTTGATGTGAAGGCATGGACAAGCTTCTTGTTTTATTCAGCTTGCTTCTAAAAGCGTCCTAAAAAATGCACAAACACTGTATCCAGCAGAGTGTTAAGGTGACGAAGTCAAGTACTAGAAATGCTGGAGGGGCTGTGTTCAGGGCGTGTCCTCTGAACACCTTATTTTTCATTTCTCTGGGGCTGCTGCATTGTGGGGACCACTCGTGTGCTGGAAGCCCCCTAGATGTGAGTGTACCCATTTTAACAACCCCCCAGCAAGTTACTGGGGTTGTATCATCCCCTTTTGCAGAGGGCAGAGGCAGAAAACAGGAAAACTGAACTGAAGAGATCTGCTTTAGGTGAAGGATGGAGTTACCAACCAACCTCTCTCTCCAGCCCCATGGACAGCAGGTACCTGACTCAGAGTGATCCCTGCTGCAGCAATAAACACATGGTGCTGGTGGAAACCTGGCCCTGAGACTGCATAAGAGGGGATTTTCCAGGTAATATTGGAACAACTGGCACTTCATGAGGACAGCTGCAACCTGCAGATGCTCAGGGACTTGCCAGAAGTTATGGAGGAATTGTGTGATGGAGACACAAAAAAAAAATCCACCCCAAACCTTCCTGGGAGAGGCATTCCACTGATTTTACTGAGACATCCCTTCTCTTTCTTTAGTTCTGGTCTTCTTTCCCTGTTCTATCCCTTCCGGCTTCCTCATTTTTAAATGCTTGTTTGTGCAACCTTAGCAATGAGGAGGGGGTTAATAACTTTTTATTTTGGTATTTAATATGAACAAACTTACAGTCTTAACACCTTATAAAAATGATTGTGTGTGAAGGAGATGAAACCTAAACTCACTGCAGCTTGAAATATTGTGTGCAACCACAGGAAAAAGGGGGAGAAAAGAGTGATGGGGGAAGGGACTATTTTCCTGCAGAAAAATAGGGTGGCATCAACATTATGAAGATATTAAATGACTAAAAGTAATTGGGTGCCTGAGATAAGGATGGATGCTTTGCCATCTGCCCCATGTAACTAACATTCATCTAAATATCTCGAGTCAAGCTATCCCAAAGGGCAAAGAATTAAAATAGATTTATGCCATGTGAATAGCAGTTTGGGAGGGGCAGGATCAGATGAGGCAGTGTCCTAAGGCTTGGGGAAAGGCCTCACAGCAGGTCTGCTCCAAGGGGAAAAGAACCTTCTCTGGAGGAGTCTCTAGAGCCAGCAGCACCAGGCCAGGTGCAGTAATGGAATGCTGGTCCCCATCCCTTTTTGCACATAAATTGAATCCTGCAGCTGCTCAGGCCACCTCTGGTGTCTGCATGGGGAGATTCAGGGCATGGGGAAAGGGGGAAGGTGTATTTGTGTGTAGGTAAGGGGAGATCTGCCCAGTGTCCCCACCACTAAAGGGCAACTGGTGCACATCAGATTGACACAGGATAAGTGGAACAAGTTTCCTTGAGTCCTTTTCAGGGCTTCAGTCCTTTTCAGCTCATGTTAGGCTGTACAGTTAAAGCCAGAATTGGTCCTAAACAGTCCTGGCATGTGGAGGATGCAGAGAATATGGTGCACAACCAGCAACTCAAGACCAGACTCTTCATTTTCTTAAATTTTTGCAAAGATTATGCTGATTCTTGAGGTAATTTCATCTTGTCAGATAGTCTGGACTTAAACTTTTTTATCAAGTTCCCTCTCTTGATACCCTGAGATGACAACAAGCTACTTTCAAACTAACTCTCCAATGCTACTGCACAAAAATGCCCAGACAAGCTAGAACCCAGCCCTGGAGAATCCTCCCTTGTCATCAGCTACGGCCACAGCAACATCTTCATGGCAACTCTGCAATGTTGGGCTGGTCCACACCACCTGAAGCATGCAAGCTGCCTTGCAATGGCAAAATGGCATTCTCAAATTGTGGGAGATGAGATATTCTCAATAAGGATACTGATTTCAGCATCAGTCTGCCAGGGGAGTTGTTATAAACAGCAGGGAATAAAAACATGATTTTAAAAATTATGAGAAAAGACTTGACAGTGTCCTTCTTCAGAGGCAGTTTGAAAAATCCACACAATAACTGCACAGCCAGGCAAATCCATCTTCTGAATAAAGGCAGTGTAGTCAGCTATTTCAAAATAAAAGACAGATAGCAAGGACTGGCTGGCTCAGGAATTTAATAATAATGAGATATGAAGCCATTCGCCCCTAGGTCACCAGTATAAATTCTGCCCAAGCTGGGAATAATTGGAAGCTATTACCCTCTGAGGCATGTTTGCTGCTGCCTAGGAAATGAGTTGGGGAGCCCAGTGGGACAGTACCTACAGGAACAGCACACAGACGTGGTGCCACCAGCACACCTGGGCCAGTGGCTCCTCTCCCTCCCTTCCTCATCAGCTCCTTGCAGATGCTGTGACCCCTTTGTTCTGGCTTTTCCCCCACCTGAGCCCACTCTGTGCATGTCTGCATCCCCATTCCAGGCTCTGAAGGACCCCACGCTGGCAGCCCGCAAGGATTTCCAGCGGGAGGCAGAGCTGCTCACCAACCTGCAGCACGAGCACATCGTCAAGTTCTACGGCGTGTGCGGCGACGGCGACCCGCTCATCATGGTCTTCGAGTACATGAAGCACGGTGACCTCAACAAATTCCTCAGGTATGTGGGAATGAGGCATGGGAGGAGCTGTGGGGCTGCCCCACAGCCTCGGGGAAACTTGTGCTGGCTCAGTGGTGCACCAGTGGTGTCATTGTTCAGTGGGCTGGGAGGTGAGAGATGGCTGTTCCAAGGGCAGCTTGGAGGAGGTGATGGTACTCACCGGACTTAGGGCTTTAGGACCCTATCCCAGTGTTTGCCTTTAGGCAATCTCAGGAGATGTGGAAACCAGAGTTTTCATCTCCTGCCTCAGCAAGTTTGAGGCTGCAGAGAACGTGGCTGTGATCCCTCTCTGCCCTGTGGGGACGGAAGGACATGAAGCCACAAGCTCCAAGTCCTGCACCTCCAGCAAAGCCATGTCCCACTGAAGCAGGAAGGCCACTTGCCATCACTCCCTCAGCCACTGAGCTCCTGCTTCAACAGCACAATCATCAAAATATTCCTTTCAGAAATTTGTTGGTGTCCTTGATCTGATTTTCATCCTGGGTGTTCACTGGTCACTGGTTCTCATTCCTGCATTCAGGAAAGACCTGAGAAATGTTGGAGGAGTCTCAGGCAGTGCCTGTGAGGTCCATCCCTGTTCCCTGGTCTCTAACCTGCAGCACCAGGCTACTCATGAAGTCAGGCAAGGCCTGAAGAAGTAATTACCTTCTCTGTCTCTAGAGAGATGCAAATTATCAGAGCTCCCAGTGCTCTCCACCATCATTCAACCATTTCATCATTTGTGTGCTCTGTATCCACCAGCACCAAGGGCCAGGGAGCAGCTGTGGGAGGATGTTTATGGTGCTCTTCTGCCACCAAACAGAAATTCCACTCTGAAACCTGCATGCAAGTGGAGTGGTGCTTACCTCTTGAAATAATTAGTAGTTTTATTTCCCAATATTTACAAAATTGGACCCTTGATATTTTCCTGTTTTGACTGCTAAGTGTGAATATGATTGCAGGAGGAACAAGAATCTTGTGCACGGCAGGTCTCGATCTGGAGTTGGGGATACACTCACTGACTATTTTTCTACCAACACAGTTTCTGACTAGGAAACACAAGTTTTTCCCTGAGGTTTTCACTTCTAAGCAGTCAGCCACACCAGAAGAACATAAGGAAAGATCCTAGAAATTTCTTTCCTCTGCCAAGTAGTGCCAACCTGTCTCCAGCTTCTTTGGGGTGTTTGCAGGGCAGTGGGTGAGCTGGGACCATTCCTGCATTGACTTTCATCCTCATTTTGGTATAGTTGTGGGTAGATTGAATAGGATTTTATAGCTCAGTCCCTGTCTCAAGCTCTGGATAAATCCAAGACATCTTGTGTCAAGGTAGGATGAGTGAAGGCTGTTGGCTTTACAGAGCTCCTCGTTCACGGGGGAGCAGCCTTGGTTACCTGGGACCTTCTTTGGTCATACCTGGAGGCCTCAGCAACCTCCCAGCAGCAGCAGATTGAACGCTGCCACCAGCATGAAACCAGGAGCTGGGGTGTTTTAGCCCAGATTGGTGATGCAGTGTTAAGGACAGTGCCTCAGCCTTGTGACTGAAGGCAGGCAGTCTGAAAAAGAGAGCAAGAGATGCTGTTCTTCAAGTGCTTCACAAAGAAAAAACTCAGAATTGACCTATCCTTTTTCCTGGCAGAACCAACAACCTTATTCCCTTAGAGAAATCAGATATTACAGCTGAGGAACAACCTCTCTCACTGCTCTAGTTAACCCCCCCAAAGAGTACAGTGCAAAACAGGCTCTCCCAGTGTCTCAGAAAGATGTTGTGTGCCCAGTGGTGCCCAGTGCCTGATGGAACTGCTTCACTCAGCAGTGAGTTCCTAAGGCTGAAATCATGCTGGAGCCGTGGACCCCTCACTCCCATGTCCCAGCTCTTTCTTGGGACATGTCTGAGAAACGCTCATGCCTGATGAAATTCATCTCCAGTCTCATTGGAAAAGAAAGCTTGTTGTATTATCTTTGGCCTTTATGAAGGAAAAGAAACTTTTCCAGGTGTGTGGTCCTTGGGATTGCAGCTTCTCATCTTCCAGCTGTGTTTAGCTGCCAGCTTCTCCTTCCTGTGCAGCCTTGGAAAAAGCAGCTATGTGCTCCTTTCCCTGCATGCTGGAATGTGGTAGGCAGTGAAAAAGCCCTTTGTGTCCTAAAGGAAGATGGCTTTGGGGACAAGGGAGCTTAGACCCTGCAAAAAGGCACTCAAAATGCCTGAGGGGTCATATGGAGAGTTTGGGCTTTCTCAGGTAAGGTGTCTGCTGATGGGGAATGGTGGCTGCAAGGGGGTCAGGAAGCGCTGATGATGCAGAGCTGCTTGGAATCCCTCAGGAAGCAGCAGTTTTTATCGTGGAATAATTCACACAGCCCACAGCAGGAGACAGTGACTCCCAGACTCTGAAGGCCAGGGATACTGGGAGTCTGTAAGACGCTCAGATGGACTTTTCCTAGTTTAACTGCAGAAATTGGAAAAGCAGTAAAATGGAAGAGGCTCACTTTAGACCCAGTTTCATAGAGAAAAGCACAATAAATAAATTCCCCTCAGTGTTGTTAGACCTTTGTGTGCTTCCCAGAGAACAGAGAGTTTTAGTGGCCTGAAACATTAGCTGGTGAGGCAAGGGGAAGCACCAGGATCAGCACATTCCAGCTGGGTTAGTGGTGGCATGTGCTGGCATGGCTCCTAATGCCTCCCAGGGCCACCACGCTGGTGGTGCCACAACAGACCCTTCTGTCTGCACCAGGGCAGGCTGCAATGGTGGTCCTGCCTCAGAAAATACTGCTAGAAAAGGTCTTGTCATGGAGAAATGCAGACATGGCCTTCCAGGGCGCATCCCGAGGAGTGGTGTGCATGGCAGTCTGCCTGCAGGTTGGGTGGGGGGCAAGGCTGGGTGTTCCTGGCACAACCCCCCACTGCCTTGGGGTCTGCAGTGACCACATCCCTTTCTGCTCACTCAGGGTGTCCATCACTTCCCCCTTTTCCTTTGGTTACTGCTTTTCCAGCTTTTGTTTCCTGTCAGCAGCAGTTTTGAAGCGGGGGTAACAGCACGTTGCCATTATAGACCTGCTCTGCAGTCTGCAATAAGTTGTTGCCATTTGCTGTTAGCTCAGACAGGCAACAGGCTTTGCTAGGAAACTTGCAGAGTTCTGGTGTTCCCCTTCCCGTGAAGCAGCACCACAGCCAGACTGTCAGGGGACAAAAAAGGAATTTCAGAAGAGGAAACCAGAATGGTGACTTTTCCCCCTAAACCTCCTGGTTTTTCTTAAGCCTTTCTCTGCTCCTTTCCACTGGAGCTGTGTCTGTCCTCACAGTGCAGAGCTGGGGGCTGGTCCCCATCCAGCAACAACAGTGACTTTGTGGGATCCCTGTCTCCTGGTCACCTGTGAGACCCAACTCTGAGCTTTTTGCTTTTGCCTCCCTGTAGGGCACACGGCCCAGATGCTATGATCCTCGTGGATGGGCAGCCTCGACAAGCCAAAGGGGAGCTGGGGCTATCCCAGATGCTCCACATCGCCAGCCAGATCGCCTCTGGAATGGTGTACCTCGCCTCCCAGCACTTTGTCCACAGAGACCTGGCCACCAGGAACTGCTTGGTCGGAGCCAACCTGCTGGTGAAGATTGGAGACTTTGGGATGTCAAGAGATGTCTACAGCACTGATTACTACAGGGTAAGGCAGCTGCAGTGGCACTCTGATGCTCAGAGCAAAGGGAGATAGGAAATGTTACAGTAAATCAGTTTTTGGAGCCCTTGGGCTCACGTGCTTGGTTATTACCTCGTTGAAACATGCGCACAGAAGTTGATCAGGCATCCCTAAACCACTGTCCTTAATCCTCTTCAGTCCTGGCCATGCTTGTAGTTCAGACACCCATGCAGATGCCTACACACAGATTTTGTGATACCCCAGCACACAGTCACACGCTTTTGGATGGCTCTGAAATAATTCCATCCTTACTGCCTATTTTTATTCCTTGTTTTTTGAAGACATTGACAAATTAAAGGTAATCCATAGAGATGATAAAATACTACAGGCTGTGACCTCTGGTGTTATATTAAAGAAACTTAATACAGGGACCTAGAAAGAAGGCAACTGAAAGACTGACTGATAAGGGCATAAAATATGGAAGAGGAAATAACAGCCAATTTAGGTTTGACCTCAGAACATTTTTTTTCCAGCAGGGTCATAATTTAAACAATGGAATAATTTGCCAGGAGTAGGTTGCTGAGAGCTTGTAATTAAAGAAGTTCAGGAAGCAACTAGACAAAAATGCCTGAGTTTAGTGTAGAGGCTAATCCTGTACTCATCTCTGGGGAGAGATTTGATGAGCCAGGAATGCCTTTCCAGCCTTTTCTCCTGTGATTTGTGCTCACACTGTTCCCTTGTCTCGCACACTCCCTCTGTACCTGTCTGCACTGTCCTGCCTGCCTGGTGGCAGCACCCCTGGGGGAACAGCATTTTTCCCTTCCCAGCTGCAGGTGAAATGTGATGTGAGAACTGTTTGGAGCACCCTGGAGTTGGAGTTTGTCTCTGGACCATCCACCAGCAGGGAAGGGCTTCTCAGGCTAGGGAGCCATGGTTTCTAGCCTGATGCTTGCACAGAGGCTGGTTTATTTCTGCTTACAACATGTGTGTTTGGCATGGAGGATGATTTCTCCCAGCTACCCAGAAAGGGGTAGCCTATTGTCTTGACCCGATTCAGGAGTTTTCATTATGTTATAGCTGCCAAGTGCAATTTCTGTGCTGGGGAGGAAGGAAAATGTGATCAGATTTGTGCTGAGATGTATCACCTCTCCCAGGCCAGAACACTGGATTGCCACTGGGTTTAATTACCAGTGAGGGAACCAATCTTCACTGCACAGCAGAGAAACCCATGCTGGGAAAAGGTCTCAGTGCAGTTACTGGGCAGTGGTGAGGAAAGAGAGGTGATGTGGTCCCATAACTGCTGAAATGTCAGGAGGGAACGAGTAGGAAAGAGAAGAGCCCAGGGGAGGATGAAAAGCAGCACATGTGATACCCAAATTCTTGCCTGCCTTCTTCCCTTCAGCCAAGCTAATCCTGCCCCAAGCACAGGCACTGCTGGACACAATCCCAGCCGAGCTCCTGCTCCTGCAGCACCAGGAGCCCTCTGGGCAAGGGCAGAAATTGCTGGCTGTTGCCACAGCTGGGAGGGCTGAGGTGATCTCCACAGGCCAGTTTATTGTCGTGGGATTTGTCTTCTCTGTGGTGGTGTCCTGTAGCCCTCATCCTGTCTGTGCAAAGTGCTTTGCTGAGGACTGCTCGTGTCTCATGCAGTGTCATAAGGCTCTTCAGCGGGCTTTTCTCTGCATACACAAATTCCTATTATCACCTACTTACCAGAGCCAGAACTGAGTTTCAGACCATCACAGCCTTTTGTTCTTAGTTGATTTTCCTTTCTTTGTTTTCACTTACTTTCAGTACGCTTAAAACTTTTGATCATGAAGTTAATTCATTGAGGCCTTATCTGTGTTAAAGTCCAAAGAAGGTTTCTACAAAAAACTCATATGACTGCCCATATTTGCACTGGTGGCATCACCTGCCCAAGGCCAAAGCAGGAATTGGTGGCAGAGCTGGGAAGCCTCCCCAGGCTAGCAAAGAGCAGAATTCCAGGGGCCAGATGTCCTTCATCCCCTCTGTGGAGGATGTCCAACCACACTCCTCCCAGAATATGAGCAAACAAGGTCAAGTGGGAGAATCACTTGAGCTGCTCCTTGGTCTCAGCTATGAAAACTGAAGATTTGGCTGAAGAGTTGAACTTTCAAAGTCTTCAGTGCTGTCCCTGGTCACATCCATGATCTGCCTGGTGAAGTTTCCCACTCTGTTTTCCAGCTTTTGTGCCTGGCAGCTTTCCCCTTCAGACAGCCTGCCATTGCCAGCAGTGGGACTTGGAGCAAAGTTCTGCTTCAGTTCGTTCTAGAAAATATTGCTTGCTGTGTCCAAGCCCTGGGAGAAGCTGTAATTTGTCATCTTCTGGAAACACAGGGAGAAATCCCACCCCAAGCTGACACAAAGTGACAGGACTGGAGCTCTCTGCAAGCACTCTCTTCAGTCTGCTGGGTCCCTGTGTTTGCTCCTGCCCAGGCCCTGCAAGGCTGGATAACTGGGTATGTGGATATATTATTGTGTTCCAGGCTGAGGATTAGTTCCTAGCCATTTCTTTTCTTTCCCATTTTTTAATCTTTTAAGACAAAGAAAGTACACCATCTGTCTCCTGCATTTGTGGGATGCAAAATTACTTTAACAAAGGTGAGCTGATTAAGTTTCTGTTACACATTTGGGTACAGAAAACAAACATTTGCGTCACAAAAATAGCAGAGAGGCTTGTTCCCCCTCTCTGCAGGCTCTCCATGCTCTGCCTGAGGTCTGATGCATCCTTTTCCTCCTCCATCACTGAGGGATCCCATCAGCTGTTGCCTTTTAACCTCCTTTTGAGAAGACAGGATGGACAGAAAATGATTGTGGAGGTGGAAGTGGAGGGGGCAGGTGGAACAGCATCTGAGTGGAAAGTGGAGGAACTGGGGAGCCAGGGAGAAGTATCCCAGCTTCTGTGTGAAGAGGGAAGGAGGGGCTGCTGAAGGAGCATTTCTGTGCTGTGTTGTGTAACGTGCTGTGCAATCTTTGGTGTGGGTCTCTGTGGGAAGGCGGGATGGAATATATCCACGCTGGAGAGGAAAGGTTTGGGCGGATTTCATTTTCCTTGTTGTTTTCTCTAAAAAAACGCTGTGAGTAGGCGATTTTTTTTAGGTATGACTCAGGACTGTGACAGCAGGTGGTGGGACGCTGCAGGTCAGGGACATTGCGCCTCAGCCAAGCTGAGGGTGGTGTGGATAATGCAGCAAGTGAGGCACAGGGTGCCTGCCCAGGGCTGTCCTGGAGGGTGTCGTGGTGGCTGTGGGGGAGTGTCAGGGCTGGGGGCATCACCAGGGCTGAGATCAGAATCCCCAGCTGCTCTTTCACCCTGCACATTGGGGTTTGGGTGCTCCAAGAGCCCTTCTGTGACTCTGGACCCACCCAAGCTCCAGTAATACCGAAATAATTTTCCATGTTTTCCCCCTAAATGTGTACTTCAGTTCCAAAACAAAATCATGTGGCAGCTGTCCAGGGACAGGGCAGTATTTCTTCATCTTCAGATGAGAATACAGTCTTAAACTGTAGTCAAGACTCCTTAATAACTGCTGACGTGATGTCCTGACATGGGTGGGACATCAGCAGTGAAGTCACATGCCAAAGAGAGGAAGGAGCTATGTAGACATTAAACCTCATGAAGACATTCCTCTGTCCATATTTCCTCTGTCCTACTCTTCTGGCATCCTGCTCCAAATCCTGGGCTGAGCTTTACACTGCCTAGGGATTTAGCTCCATCCTTTCACAGAGATCAGTCCTGAGTGTTCTCCTGGTCAGTTCATCATGCAGAGCACACCTGCAAAAAAAAACCCAAAAAAAACAAAACCAAAAATGTGCAGGACTGATGTGCAAGGTCTGATTTTTTTTTTTTTTAAAATTTATTTCTAGCAATACAGAGATAATCATAATAACAAAAATGCTCCCTGTTTCTGTGTCCTCACCACTCTGGAGCATTGTTTGGGTTTGGGAGAAACAAGGTTTACAGGAAGAAGCAATATCTTTTAATAGAACACAAGATATTGTTGGAAGGGGGAGAAAGAATGAATGTTAGGTGCACAAACCCTCTCTGAGTTCTTTTTTATTGTTATTTTCTGTTGTATCAGTTGGTTTAATAAAAGATTAATATCTCTTCCCATGAACCTTGGCTCTCACACCCTTAGACCATCAGAACAAAAAAATTTCTGCTATGACTTTGGCCTTAGGTCAGTGTTCCTTAAAAAGTCTGGGATCCCTCTTCCTCTGAAGCATGAAGGTTTACTGTGTAAACAGTTTATTTCTTCTCTTTCTTTAAAATGGCCAGCAAACCCCTCCCCATATTCTTGATAATTTTCAGTACCCATTTAAGGTTGCTTTCTGAGGGCCATCTCTCATCTTGACCATCTCTTACTTTTGTTCTTTTCCTCTACCATTCAAGATTGGCTTCTTTCTCACAGATACAGCCAGTTGTTTTTCCAGTGAAGTTTCCATGTGTGCAATAGGTCACTGAGATTTAGCAGCTGCCTGGGTTGTGCTCCTCTGGAGGCTCATCCAGCATGGTAGATAGGACTGACAAACAGACAAGCCTTGCATTGAAACTGGATTTAGTCTGACCCACATTCTTCTCCACAGAGGGCTCCAAAAATAATCACACCATCACTGGTGCTCTGTTCCCACCAGCTCTGAACTCTCTGCAGAGGGTCAGCTGTACTCTCCCTTTTTGTGCAGACTTGGCAGAGCCCCTTAGAGCTCCTGTGGATCCCTCAGCTGCACAACACCCACTGTCAGCCCCCTGGTGCTTTCTTTGTGGTTTTGCTGTGCAGCTCATGCAGTGTGTGTGCAGCATGAGAGGTGGATCCCAGCACAGGGGAACTACTGCCCAGCCCTGTCAGCACCAGGATGGAGCCCTGGGATGAGTGTGCTGGGGCTCTGAACCATCACCTGCTAAGGGAAAGGCCAACAGGCACAGGGGAGGAAAACTCCCCCTAAATTTCTAGCTGGGATGTGGTACTGCCTCACTTTGGGAGAGAAAATAAGCTGCCACTCTCAGG